TCCCCTAACAACATGAATCAGTCAAGAAAATAGAGGGCCTCTGAGTTTACAACATAAACTGCAAGGACTGTGAACAAAAATATGCATCGAAGAGAAGGGAGAGCTACTCAGCACAAGGATCAAAGAACACCAGCGACTAAGCAAAAAATGGATACGGAAAGATCGGAAATAGGTGAACACATTGCTCTTACCGGCCACACAATAGATTGGAGTGCAACGGAAAAACTGGCCTCATATAGAGAAAATAACAGGCAACGAAAGATCAGGGCGGCTGTGGACATCCTCTTTCAAAGAAACCTGAGGAACAAGAGATTGGGAAAGGGAAGAGTCAGCGATTACTTCGCGTAGTACTTAAGCCGACTTGGAAACTCAACGAAGACATCCAAAAGAAGAAGCTTGAACCCAGGACAACTGCTCATGAGGAAAAAAAGGGAAGAAAAGGCGATTGTAGTGAGATGATTCAGACGTGAAATCGGCCAAAAGATTTACCCAGAGGGTTCAATTGTGAGATATGAAATCGAAGGCTATAGGTATAGATGAGCTAGAATTAGATGGGAATGTCAACTAGAGAGACGAGAGGAGTGCGCCTTTCACGATTCAGAGGATAAAGTGTAAGTGGTGAATTCTCACACCAGCGCTTGTGACATAAACCGGACACAGGGCCACAAAGAATGAGAGAAAATGTGGGTGGGGATGAGGGAAAGTATAATTGAGTCATGGGTTTGAAGTATTGGGAGAGGAAGATTACCAGGCACTGGCATGAGCATCATCTGCTCTAAATTTTTGAATATGGCGTAGTCGATGCCATGAACTGAACGCTCTTAGGAAGCCAGATTTCATATTTGAGTGAAGTTTCGAGAACACAAGTAAATCAGTAATATGAGATGAATTCATCCTATTGCGTATAAGGTGATGAAGGACTGGTAGTAGAATTTTGCCAAAGTGATATGAGTAAAGCTGACGTTTCAATTGAATTTCATATTCCCTTGCTTTCGCAAAAGTTGACTGCAGTTTCGGCCTTGCATTGGTCTTATCAACACCCAAGCGGGAGTCGAACTATGACAGTGCGGAATGGGAGCTTGACACGTTAACCACTCG